AGACTGCGCCAGTGTCCTTATTGCCGTCTTGTGTTCTTGTTTTCGTTTTATCACCCTCCCCAGGCCCATCTGTGTATTCCTTACTGTATACGAGGCACTGTGGCCACGGTTTTACCTTTTACCGAAACCTTTACATCAGCTATTATGATGGGTATTACTCTCCCTGTTTTATAGAGGATGAAAATTTTGAGGATTACATTGGATGAATTGCAAGATCACAAAGGTACTAAGAGGTGGGCTGTGTATGGCCCAGACTAGTAAAAATCAGAAAAGAATTTGAACCCAGTGCTACCTAAAGCTCAAAACTTTGGTTTTCCTTTTCATCCTCAGCCAGTTCTGCAACCGAATCATAATCTATATTGCCATTACAGTGTTTTGCCCCAGTCTCCTTCCTGATGCCACTGTCACCATCTCAACTAGAGACCCCCTTGTTTCCCTGGCTTGCTGTGATACCCTCATACGGTGGCCACTGTTTAGGAGCTAGTCTCTTTACCAACGCTGGGTGCATAACTGGGGAATAACCTTGTGGCTGTGACAGCTTTCCCAAAGGAAAGCACACTTAGAGAATGACACAACCTTACCTATGGAGCTTCAGGGATTAAATTAGCTGCTCCGCCCTCTCTCAGTCTGCTTTTAAGTGCAATTAAAGTCAAAAGAGTGAAGCTATTATGGAGAAAAGAGTCCAGAAACACTAAAGTAAAAATATGGTAGTAGAGAAAGGTAGAATTCTACTGTGGTCATATAAAAATAGAGAATAAAGTATAACCTTGAAGTACAAACTCTAATACACACCTAGTTAGCTGGCTAAAACCAGTGGTGCCTGTGTCCACGCTGACACAAACAGTATACATATAACCCCTGTGTTCAAAGATAACACTCCACCATTAATGATTCAGAAGCCTTTTTATCTGTCATTAGTGATTCAAATGCTTTTTAATAGCTTGCTTTTTTTTTCTTTTGGTCAAAGTCTCATTGTGTAGCTCGAGCTAGTCTGGAACTGGCTGTGTAGACCAGGCTGGACCCACGCTTCTGTATAAAGATCTGCCTGTGTCTGCCTCCCAAGTGCTAAAATTAAAGGTACTTTAAAAGTAGGATGTGTAAAACGTATGTTAACTTTTCTCTGGATAGCCATCAGTAGGGCCTTGTCAAGAAAAGAAAAAAAAGATTTTTGTGTGTCCAAAGGAAATTTACTGGAGTCCCCTGGCTTCCTTAGGTGGAGGGAACAATGAGAAACAAACACTTGAGCTTCCTTCCCCTGACCCACACCCCTTCCAACAAGGTATTACGTATTTCCTTTCAATGGAAGATGCTAATGCCAGTAAAAAGAGTGGGAATTGATAGTTAAACTACTATAACTTCACATCCTTGAGAAATGCTAAAATAATAGTCTCTAACGCTGTACTGGCTGGTTTTGTGTGTCAACTTGACACAAGCTTGAGTCATCAGAGAGGAAGGAGCCTCAGTTGAGAAACTGCCTCCAGAAGATTCAGCTGTAAGGCATTTTCTCAATTACTGATCAGTGTGGGAGGGACCAGCCCTTGGTGGGTGGTTCCATCCCTGGACTGGTGGTCCTGGCTTCTTTGAGAAAGCGGACTGAGAAAGCCAGGGGAAGCAAGCCAGTAAGCAGCCCCTCTCCATGGCCTCTGCATCAGCCCCTGCCTCCAGGCTCCTGCCTTGTTTGAGTTCCTGTTCTGACTTCCTTCACTGGTGAGCTGCAGTGTGGAAGTGGAAGCTGAATAAACCCTTTCCTCCCCAACTTGCTTTTGAGTCGTGGTGTTTTGTTGTAGTAATAGAAACCCTAATGAAGACAAACCCTAAGTTGGTTTTTGGTTTTTCTTTTTTTAAAAGTAGAATTCAAATGTGCCCATCAAAATGCAACTATTCACATTTTCTGGTTTCCTAAAGCCAAATAGACTTTTTTTTTTAATTAACAAAGGAAACAGCAGGGTTTATAGTGGTGTTTGGATTATATGTTGAGTCTCTGTTACATGTGCTTCATGGTTTGCCATCCTGCTTCTTTACTTCTATAATTCTCAGTATGATCATCAGAAAGCTAGAATATGGAGATGAGAGATGAAATTGTTACACGTATCATCTAGATCAATCCTTAGCTGACTTGGAGGCCACAGAGCCAGGCAACAATAGTGACAGAATCAAATTTGCAGCTTATATTTTTCTCTTTCCAGAGCATAAGATTGTTCTCCTGCAAGTAATTTTATGTTTTATTTTTACAAAAGTTTAAAATAAGCTGAGTGTGGTGGCTCACACCTTTAATCCCCGGAACCAAGGAGGCAAGCAGATCTCTGTGAGTTTGAGGACAGTTGGGGCTACGTATGAGACCCTACATGAACAAACAAAACTTAAAATAACTTACAGGCTGGGGAGTGTTGTGAGCGTGTGTGTGAAGTGAGTGTGTGTGAGTGTGTAGTGTGTGAGTGTGTGTAGTGAGTGTGTGTGAGTGTGTGTGTGAGTGTGTGTGTGAATATGTCCCTAGCATGCGCAGACCCTGGGAATGATCACCACCACAATCACAAAATATTGAAAATAAAACAAGCAAATAGTAAAGTATTTGGTAATGGTATGTCATAAATAAATTTTGGGGACAATACTCATTAGAGCTACTGTGTTATTCCAGCAGTCTGGGTGTCTTAATTACTTTTCCATTGCTGTAAAGAGACACCATGACCAAGGCATCTTATAAAAGAAAATGTTTATTGGGACTCACGGTTCCAGAAAATGAGTCCAGGCCCACTGTGGTTGTCATGGTGTTGGAGCAGCAGCTGAGAGTTTACATCTGATCCCACAGCACGAGGCGGAGAGGAAGCTACAGTGGAAATCGCATGGATTTTTGAAACTTAGAATCCCACCTCCAGTACACACCTTCTTCAAGGCCACAGTTCCTAATCCTTCACAAACAGTTCCACCAAACAAGTGGCCAACGGGAGCCATTCTCACTCAAATTACCCTTGCTTCTCTTTCGTAAGTGTACTGACCATCCAGCATAATTTCCCAATTTTGACATTACTTTATCCAGATATTAAGATATAAACTTATTCAGTCATTAATCAACCTATCATTGTGGGAATTCTGTATCTACTTGCCATCCCCAAATGCACAGTAGTCTATATGGAGCACAGTACCGTTTAATGCTGTTTAGAGTGGCTACAGCCCTCCACATGGCTGTAATTGCGAACTGAGGGAGAGGGACATTGGGAGATTCACAGATAGGACACAGGAGTTTGAACATCTTGTGCCTCTTGTTTCCTCTGGCCATGGTCACCATCAGTCCTGAGACGGATTTATTTGGTGGGTCTGACAAAACCCTACGCATCATGAGAAGCTGGCAATACAGCCACTAATAATCCACAGGATGCACGGTTCCCACTATCATACATACAACACTGTCTGTCTTGTGTGGCTGTCTCCTGCAGAGATGCCTTGCTGTAGGAACAAACACCACTGATCCACTTATGATTCTCCTATTAGAACTTGCCATGAACCTCCATGGATTCTTATCACAAACTCTTTAGCACAGAATCTCCCGGGTTGAATGCCCCCGACATCAGGGCTAAATCACACTGCAGCCTGGGCAGCCAACAAGCCTTCATATCCCCTGGATCCCACTGAGAACGGTCTCCTTGTCATCCAGTCTATGGACCAGAACCACGATTTGCAAGTTACAGCTTACCAGAGACCCACAGAGCTCGGGATACTTCTTTGGTGGTGGAATAATTTTGGTGAAATGGCTGGATAATGTGCAGTAGTTGGTTTTTATGATGAAGGAGACACTTCTGGAGCCAAGAAATCTCTGACTGAAATAACAGCCTGCTGGTCCTATTGGGGGTTACCTCCTTTGCTCTGACATGCAACATGCTACTTCCTGTTATCTGACCCAGTCAACACAATATCATCCCATAGCACACACAAATGACCTAGACCTCTTCAGACTTTGTTGGTTAGATGGGAGAGTTCACAGAATTCTATGACAAAACTAGATACATATGCGGATGTCTCTCCAACAGAAAATCACAGTGGGGGTCCAATGGCCTGGGAACTCAGTTCTACACTCAAATTACCCTTGCTTCTCTTTCGTAAGTGTACTGACCATCCAGCATAATTTCCCAATTTTGACATTACTTTATCCAGATATTAAGATATAAACTTATTCAGTCATTAATCAACCTTCACGGCTTCTGCTGATGTGCATAGATAGCCTTAAAGTCTCCTTTGGGATCATGTTCACCTGAAATTGTTAGAAACAGCACACAGTAAGGCGGAGAGAACTGTTTCATCATAGCATGAGGTTACTGGGGGTTTTTCTTTTTCATAATTGCCTTTGTTGCCTGTACTTCAGTTTTTAAATTATGTGAACCTAGATCTTAAAAATCACCAAGAGAGGTCTACAGAGCTAGTTCCAGGACAGGCTCCAAAGCCACAGAGAAACCCTGTCTCGAAAAACCAAAACAAACAAACAAACAAATAAATAAATATAAAAAAAGGTCTACAGAGCTAGTTCCAGGACAGGCTCCAAAGCCACAGAGAAACCCTGTCTCGAAAAACCAAAAAATAAATAAATAAAAAAAATCACCAAGAGATAAAAATTAAGGCAACCTTCTATCAATCTGTTTCTATTTTTCTACCTAATGCTAGAGCGCGGGAGTGCCAGGTTCAGTGCTGGCTTCATACTCATCCACTGTTATCTGTTTGCCTCTGTCTTGAAGGTGACCTGACCTTTAAAAACCCAGGGACAACTATTTTGTCTCTGAAATTGTGTGAACAATAATAAAGCAAACCTGCAGGTTTTATCTAACCAGGAAAAACATGCCATTACATTGTTAACATTGCACTATTTACTTTATAAGCATTCTCAATAATTACAGCAGGGAATTAAATGCCTTTTTATTTTTATTTATTTTTATTTTTTTAATGTTAACAGACTTAATTCACTTTTATTTTCCTTGTATAAAAACCCTTATGTGGTGACCACAGCTGGAGCCTGGGTCCTCTGAACAGAGACTCTGGTGTGGTTTTTCACAAGATGGTCAGTGAATTCCTGATAAGGAGACTTGGTGAACAGTCTCTTTCCAGAGGTCGGGGGTCAGGTAGCTGTAGGTCTTGGAGATGGCATCAAAGGTGGCCTTGGCAAAGTTGCCCAGGGTGGCAGTGCAGCCCCTGGCTGATGTGTAGCAGTCATCAATGCCAGCCATCATCAGTAGCTTCTTGAGCACAGGAGCAGAGACTATGCCAGTGCCTCTGGGGGCAGGGATGAGACGCACCAGCACAGAACCACAGCGGCCTGTCACTTTGCAAGGAACAGTGTGGGGCTTGCCAATCTTGTTCCCCCAGTAGCCTCTCCGCACAGGGACAATGGAAAGCTTGGCCAAGATAATGGCCCCACGGATGGCAGTGGCTACCTCCTTGGAGCACTTGACACCGAGACCTACGTGACCATTGTAGTCCCCAATAGCAACGAAAGCCTTGAACCTGGTCCGCTGGCCTGCCCTAGTCTGCTTCTGCACGGGCATGATCTTCAGAACCTCATCCTTTAGGGAAGCTCCCAGGAAAAAGTCAATAATCTCAGATTCCTTAATGGGCAAGGAGAACAGGTAGATCTCCTCTAGGGACTTGATCTTCATGTCCTTAACCAGGCGGCCCAGCTTGGTGACGGGAATCCATTCCTTGTCTTCAGCTTTACCTCCTCGAGCCCCGCGGCCTCGCCCTCGGCCACGGCCACGACCACAGCCGCGGCCCCTCAGACCGCTGCCACCGAATCCTCCGCGGAAGCCGCCACGGCCTCCTAATCCTGGGCCCCCGGGTCCTCCGGACCCTCCCACTGCACCGGTGTCATCCGCCATTTGGTGTTTTCTAGAAGAAGAAGAAGCTTATTTTTATTTTTTTAATGGTTGAGAAGGGTTTTGTTGTAGATATAAGAGAACAGTCAGAGGCATCTGAAAGGGTCCAGACTAAACAAGGCCATGAGGAGAAAGGGGGAAAGAAAGGAAGAGGCAAGCAGACCAAGAGAGGAGCCTTGAAACAAGAAGCCAAGAAGTGAGCCAAGAGAGCATGTGGTCAAAAATGGCTGGTTTATTTAGTAAAGAGAAACTGGGGAAAGGGAAGGGAAGTCCCCGGGCTGGAGAGGTTTAGGGTAGGGGTCAAGGTAAGGAGCATGGGATTCTTACGTGTTCCATGTTCAGATTTTTGTTTCAACCAAAGTGTGTATATATATATATATATATATATATATGCATTATCGAAGAGAATTTCCTCAGTCATAGTTATTAAAGCTAGAAACTTTATATACAGAAGTTACTATAAGCTATAAATAGTATTTTTAAAAAACTAGATGCATATTGTTGTTAAGGCACTAGTCCTAGACAGTGAAGGACAGTAATCCATGAGATGTGGATAGCAAGCCAGATGTGTCAAAACTACTCCAGGTCACTACTGCCTGGAGAAACTGTCCAGTTCTGGCCCGGGGCTAGAGAATCCAGGTTGACAAGGCTGGGATCCCAAGGCAACTGTAGTTCACAGGGTAGACTATTAGAGTGTGGAGAATGCACTGCTTGCCTAACGTTAACACAGAAGTCCATCATATGCAGTAAAGGCTGGCTCCCTTACAGCACCGTCTTACCAACTGTGGGAAACGTGGCCAGATGGGAAGGACCACGGCCATGGGGGTGAGGGTAGTGTATTTGTGTGTGTGGTGTGTTTGTGTGAATGCAGGCTCCTGTGAGGGGCAGAGGACAAGTTAGGATGTCACCCTCGCATGAGATGGTTCTCAGTGTCTCAAGTAGGCCAGGCTAGCCCACCTGTGGTCTGTCTCCGCCTCCCATTGCACCACAGGAACACAGGGGTCACAGATGTGCGTACCCGACCTTATGTGGTTTCTAGAGATCTGAACTTAACAATTGTATGGCTGGAGCTTTAACCACTGAAGCGTCTCCCCAGCCTCTGCGTACGTCTTATAACCCTAGAGAGCCAGGTGGTGCATACCTAAGATCCCAGAAAGCAGGAGGCTGAGAGGCTCACGAGTTTAAGACCAGTCTAGGTCACAGAGATCTGAAGAAAAATAAAAGGGGGGTGTTAGTTGGATTTTAGTGAATTAAAAACTCATATTAACCATGTTACATTTTAAGATTCTCCAGTCGTGTCCCACTGCTATTTAGATGTGCATTGTGCATGAGATCACGGCTTACCTTGAACAGAGCTGCTCTCCTGCCTCCACTTTCTAAGAGCTGGTATTGTGGGCGTGTGCCCTACACACACTCTGCCCCATTATTATCCTGTCATGACTCCTTACTCTGCCCTCCAGACACATAAACTTTGTAGTCCCTCAGAATCCTCCACAAGGCACTTGTGTCTCTACATAGCCCTGGCTGTCCTGGATCTAAGTAGACCAGAATGGCCTCGAGCTCACAGAGATCCACCTGCTTCTACCTCCTAAACGCTGACATTTAAGCCATGTGTCTTTAATCACTGGTTAAATCAAGAACCTCTCCTCCCAGGATCTGCTAGAATGAGTCATATGGAAGGTTACATGTGGGTGTCGTGTGGCTATCTGGTTACTATTTGGCCCTTCGCTAGTGTATGAAGTTCACGGGGTCTGGGTTTGGTCTGGTTTTGCTCACTGTTGGAGTCCAGTGTCCAGTACTTGCTAGGTCTCAGTGATGTTTGTGGAAGGCCTTCCACAGTGTAAGATGGAGTTTTTATTCCTGTGATTTCTCCAGTGGGTGGCAGCATGAAAAGCAAATGGGAAAAAAGGGTGATTTCCAAGAGCCCAACGTTAGGTGTGAGCATTGCCATGCTGCTATTTGTTGGTTTATTATCTGCCATTTATTATCTGCCACTATTGTTGCCATGCTGTCACTTTCTGTTATCTATATTTTTATATATTGTTATCAATCACGTCATAGTGATACTCAGTCCATTATTCAGAATATGAGAAACATTTCTTGCCTATAAGAAAAAAAAAATCCCGCTGGGTGGTGGTGGCGCACGTCTTTAATTCCAGCAACGCAGGAAGCAGAGGCAGGCAGATCTCTGTGAGTTCAAGACCAGCCTGGTCTATGAGAACTAATTCCAGGACAGGCTCCAAAGCTACAGAGAAACCCTGTCTCAAAAAAAAAAAAAAAAAAAAAAAAGGAAAAAATTCCTAATTTTGCCATAAACAAATTGGGCAGCTCCGGGGCAGGGGAGTAGGGTTTGCAGATTTTTTTTTTTTTAATGACAAAGTTGAAATTAGAAAGACTTTGCAGGGTTGGTATAGCTGCTCAAGGATTTCCATAATAAATGGAAGGTCCTGTAATCCCACCTTAGCATACTGGGATGCTACATTTTCGGGGTACAAACTCAGCAGCCTCCTGGGAGCCCTGCTACATCTCTGTGCCAACACTGGCTTTCCTGGCCACTACAGGTACAAGGGAAGTTGCCCTTACTCCCTCATCTTGTTACATAACCCAGGATGGCCTGGAACTCAGGGATTGAACAACCTGTAGAATGAATTCCATCAGCTATGCCTGACGCCAACTGCCTGTTCACAGCTTACGACCAACGTCAGCGCCTCGGTCCCCAAATGCTGCTCTGACTCATTTCCCCCTCCTCATTCAAGCCCCAGGGTGGCATCGTTGGCATTTTGGTTCCAATGCGGTAAGCTGCTGGCAGACAGTGGAAAGGAACCGAGCAAGTGAAGAGAAAATATAATCCAGGTGAACACCAGAAAGCCACTCTGAGAAAGGAATGTTAAGGAGGCCTCGGCAGTGGGGTCCTAGGCAAGCTAACGTTTCCTTGGGAGCTCTCTGCCCACAAGATACTGCCCAGAGTATTCATCTCCAACATTGTATCACCATGTCCTTTGTTACAAACTAACAGTAGTGGCTCATTTCTTAAGCTTTGAAACTCTGGGTCCTAGCTCTGCCTCCTCCCCATCCACCAAACTCTTACCCGGTTTTCAGGAGCCAATTCGAATACCACTTCTAAGCAGACTTCTTATTTACTTCACAGAACTTTTCTTCCCTCCTCTGCACACCTCCAGCAAGTTATCTGTCCTGTGGCACTGACTCTACCCCACCACTGAGGACTGTGTAAATTCTGCTAAGTTGGCCTCGCTCCTTGGTGAGAGGCTTTTTTTTTTTAAATCTAATGGATCTTTATATTTTCTGTAGCTCTTACATGCAGAAGGCACTTAATATTTGTGCCTAATGAGAAAGGCACCAACCCAGGCCTCACTGCTACTGCTGCAAGGGAAAGAGTACCAGTCACACACAAGGCAGGTAAGCTTCGGGTTAAATAAAAAGACAAGGAAGGAAGTAGGCACCCTGCTGCCTGCCTCCTTCACCAAGCAAACTGGCCTACGGGGCTTCAAGGTGCATTGAAACAGCTCAGCAAGATCCTCAGCTATTAGCTCCCTCAGTGGCAAATGGCAGTGAAGAGCAGAAACCACCTAATTTTATAAGCAGATGGTCTGGAAACTGCAGAATATTTCCTGCCTACAGTATAATAGTAACAGCTGCTACTGCTGCTTCTAGACCTGTGTGTGTGTGTGGGGGGAGGGAGGATGGCGATGAACCCAGTAAGTACTCTACACTGAATTTTATTCCAGTTCTTCCTACAGCTTCTTTCCAGGGAAAGAAGATAAATCTAAGCTTAAGGTCTATAAAAATGTTGGGATTTTAACCAACTGGCAGCTATCACACAGTCCAAGGCTTTAGATTCCCTAAAATTCATAGAAGTGATTCTTGGCTTTAAGACAATGTCTGTCTCACTATGTAGTGTGACATGAGTTATCCTTGATCTTACTGCAATCTTATAGACATGGGTTATTACTCTGGGACAAAGAAGTAATTCTTAACTCTCCTTAACATAAAATGAAAAGACTTAATATATAAGACCCTCCCATCCCCACAAGCAGACACCCCACCAAGGAATGCTAGATTGGAGTGACCTCCATTAATTGTCCCCCTCCTCTGTAATTTAGTCACAAAAACAAAGTACCATCGTGTTACTGCTTCAATTTGGAGTTCATTATTTGGTCCCATTGATTTTATTTTTCAAACCTATTTATATTTATTTTTCAAATCCCCACAGCTGCCACCCTGGTGCAGACCACTATCACGCAGTGCCTGAACAACTACAGAACTTCCGTAGAACTGGACCGCTTCCTCACTGGTCTCTATTTTGATCTTGGCTTTCCAGCCGATTTCTCCTGCCGTAGCTAGTGATCTCTGGGAATAGCACCAACAGTGAATTAAGTGTTTCATTCTAATAACGTCTGTATACGACTTGCTAGAAAAAAGCCACACGAGCCAATTCAAGGAAACCTTATGTGCAGATAAATCCAAGACCAAATGAATATTAAGACCGTAGGCCCACTGGAAACGAAGGTAAAAATGCAGAGCTCCGGGCTGCACAAATGAGTCCTATTTTAATGTGCCATCCTGATTTTCCTCTGACACTTCAACATATTCTCAGTGTGATCAACAGGAAATAAAAATTTTGGGGAAGATCTAGGGTTCGTTTCCAGGCCATAAGTCATTAAAAAAGATGACCACCGAACAAGAGGGTGAGAACTCGGCCCCAGCGGAAGCACCAAGGGCCATTCCTTCGGCTCTACTGTGTCACCCAATCTACCTCTCCTAGGCAACCAGAGGACAGGGGCGGCATTCTAGATCTAGGACTATGTGATCCACGTGAGGGGCATAAGATTTCACTGGGTGGACACGCAGGATTTGTGTCCTCCACACTCTCCCATGCACCCGATGAAGAAGAGAAGCGATTTGAGTTGCTGTAGATTCTGCCCAGCTGTGCCACTCTGGTTTGCTGGCTGACGGCGGCATGTCCCCCCTGACATGCCCAGGAGTTCCATTTCCCCGTTTATCAGTGATAACTTTCTGGGGATGAGGCCCATGATGCTCTTTTCCCGTGTCACTGCTTCCAAGAGGCTGGGGTTTCCTGCCCGAGAAAGACTCCACATTTTGGTGGATATGCAGAACACCCCCGACATCCTTCCGAAGCACTCGGCAGGCGACGGGCCACCCTTCTTCAGAGCTGGGGATCAGCCCCAGGTTCACCCTATCTGCAGCGTTGGAGAGCTGCAGCTTCCTGTTGTCTCCAAAGTGTATCTGGCACCGGTCTGCCACGCCGTTGATCTCCAAATTGTTTCTGAGAGCGGCGGCGGCATGGGGATTCCATTCGCAGGCATGGACGAAGGCAGCACCGGCGTGAACTAGGAAGGGCAACGTGAAATACCCGATCCCCGCGTAGAGATCCACCAGGATCTCTCCAGCACAGGACAGCGATGCCACCCGAAGCTTCTCAGTGATGTTCCCGAAAGAGAACATGCACTGGGTCACGTCAAACGTATACCGGATGCCATTGTCCATATGCTCTACCCAGCCATGGTCACCCAGCAGCAGAGTCACCGATGGCGTTCGAGTACCATCAGGCAACACCCGCCCTCGTTTGGCCAAACGTTGAACTCCAAGGGCCGAGGCGACAGTCTCCCAGAGTTCTGGTTCCAGACTCTGCCATTGCTCGGCTTGGAAACAGTCTTCACTAAGCAGCATTAGGTCACCATGCCGTTGCCATGACCGGGGCAAATCCGCCTCCAGCTCGGTGCACCACGTCACTCCGCGGTCCTCTACCCAGCGCCTCACCTCAAGGCACAGTCTCTGCGCAGGAGAACAAACCCGGGCCTTTTTGGAAGGAAGAGGATCGAGGAGCTGCGTCAGCCTGCAGGAGCTGCCCGGGGCCACGCGATTCCTCAGCTCCTGCAGGTGCCGCTCAGGGAGGGTCTCCGCAAGCACCGGGAGCGCCACCATGCCATCCCGCAGCTTCTGCACACGGTGCTGTCTATCCAGGAGTTTCTGCTTCTCGAGGTAGTCTCTGTATCGCTGGGTAAACCGAGGCTCAGTCACAACGGCAACAACTACAGACGTCTCACCTTCTCTCTCCATGCTGCTCGCGTCTGCATCCCTTCCGTGTCTGGCGGCGAGAACCTCTAAGGCTGTTTTCTCTCTGCAGGTCCGCCGCTAAAACCGGAAGAGCTATGCGCTTGCCTCCATGGCGCGCCGGGAGTGATGGCAAACGGATGGGCCGGATCTAGAGGTGTTACTGGCAATCAGCGAATGGAATCTCGGTTGCTTTATGAAGCCGCGGCCGCCATGTTTGTTATGGTCATAATCAGCCTGTACTTGCTCCCACTTAGGAAAGTTAGTAACGCTATGGACCAAAAGTCATGAGATGAGTCGATATCCTCCAGAACGTTTATACACTTTCTTCAGTGCTGCTCATAAAAAAAAAAAAAACAACAAGTGAATTAGCAATGATAGGTTGATTTACAGAAAGGCTTCCAATAATTTAGTTGCTCGTAAGTTAGCACCAGCCGCCACCTTATTCTTGAAGGTGGAATGTGTTATAGCTTCCTCATTCCTTTTTTTTTTTTTATTTTACAAAAATGCTGGTTACCCGAATCATCTTCAGAGAATTGCTACTGTGAATTGAGATGGTTCGGAGGATAAGTGAACGTGGCGAACCAAGCCTGACAACCAGAGATTCCCAGAACCCACATAGTGGAAGAAGGGAACCAAACCCAGGTCTTCTGAAAAACATGAAGTGATCTTAATCGTTGAACCTCTTTTCTTTTCTTTTCTTTTCTTTTCTTTTCTTTTCTTTTCTTTTCTTTTCTTTTTCCTTTCCTTTCCTTTTCTTTTCGTGTGCAGGTGTGGATCTCTTTTTTTCTTTTATCAATAGGGGTGACAGGCACTCATGCCGTAGTGCAGGTGTGGAGGTCAGAGGACAACTTCCAGCGACTGTCTCTCCTCTATTTCCATCATAAGGGCATTGAGGAAGAAGCTCCAGTTGTCAGACTCAGTTGCAAGCTCCTAGACTTGTGGAATCGTGTCTCGCCAGCCCGTACTTGTGGTATTTTTTTTTAAATGTTCTACATGGCTAACCTTTACCTCAAGAATAACTTTTAGGCAGCAGTTAAATTCTCTTTTATTTGTTTGTTTGTTTTATTGATTTTTTTTAAATTTATTTATTTATTTATTAAACATTTCTGTCTCTTCCCCACCGCCGCCTCCCCTTTCCCTCCCCTGTTTTATTGATTTTTATTGAGCTCTACATTTTCCTCTGCTCCCCTCCTTGTCTCTCCCCTCCCCTTCAGCCCTCTCCCAAGGTCCCCATGCTCCCAATTTACGCAGGAGATCTTGTCTTTTTATACTTTCTACTTCCCATGTAGATTAGATCTATGTAAGACTCTCTTAGGGTCCTCATTGTTGTCTAAATTCTCTGGGATTGTGGTTTGTAGGCTGGCTTTCTTTGCTTTATGTTTATTTTATTCTATTTTTAGGGATTTTTCGAGACAGGGTTTCTCTGTAGTTTTTGGTTCCTGTCCTGGAACTAGCTCTTGTAGACCAGGCTGGCCTCGAACTCACATCGATCTGCCTGCCTCTGCCTCCCAAGTGCTGGGATTAAAAGCGTGCATCACCACCACCTGGCTGCTTTATGTTTAAAAACCACCTATGAGTGAGTACATGTGATAATTCTCTTTCTGCGTCTGGGTTACCTCACTCAAAATAATGTTTTCTAGCTCCATCCATTTGCCTGCAAAATTCAAGATGTCGTTATTTTTTTCTGCTGTGTAGTACTCCATTGTGTAAATGTACACATTTTCCTTATCCATTCTTCAGTCAAGGGGCATTTAGGTTGTTTCCAGGTTCTGGATATGACAAACAATGCTGCTATGAACATAGTAGAGCACACGTCCTAGTGATATGGCTGAACATCCTTTGGATTTATACCTAAAAGTGGTATTTCTGGGTCTTGGTTGTTTCCTCATTTTCTGAGAAATCGCCACACTGACATCCAAAAGGGCTGTACTAGCTTGCACTCCCACCAGCAATGCAAGAGTGTTCCCTTTACACCACAACCTCTCCAGCATAAGTTGTCATCAGTGTTTTTGATCTTGGCTATTCTTACAGGTGTAAGATGGAATCTCAGAGTTGTTTTGATTTGTATTTCTCTGATGACTAAGGATGTTGAACATTTCCTTAAGTGTCTTTTAGCAATTTTAGATTCCTCTGTTGAGAGTTCTCTGTTTAGGTCTGTCCTCCATTTTTTAAAATTGGATTATGTGTTCTTTTGGTGACCAGTTTCTTGATTTAGCTGCATATTTTGGAGAGCAGACGTCTGTCTGATGTGAGGTTGGTGAAGTTTTTTTCCCCCCATTCTATAGGCTGTCATTTTTCTTGTTGACTGTGTCCTTTGCTTTACAGAAGCTTTTCAGTTTCAGGAGGTCCCATTTATTAATTGTTTCTCTCAGTGTCTGTGCTGCTGGGGTTATATTTAGGAAGTGGTTCGTTCCCTGTGCCAATGCGTTCAAGTGTAGTTCCCACTTTTTCTTCTATATGGCTGGCTTTATGTTGAGGTCTTTGATCCATTTGGACTTGAGTTTTGTGCGTGGTAATAGATATGGGTTTATTTTCATTCTTCTACATGTTGATATCCAATTATGCCAGCACCATTTGTTAACTATGCTTTCTTTTTCCCATTTGATATTTTTTTTTTGCTTCTTTGTCAAAAATCAGGTCTTCAAAAGTGTGTGGATTAATATCTGGGTCTTTGATTTGGTGCCATTGGTCCTCCTGTCTATTTTTATGCCAATACCAGACTGTTTTCAGTACTGTAGCTCTTTAGTAGAGTTTGAAGTCAGGGATTGTGATGACTCCAGAAATTCTTTCATTGTACAGGATTGTTTTGGCTATCTTGGATTTTTTGCTTTTCCATATGAAGTTGAGCACCATTCTTTCTAGGTCTGTGAAGAATTTTGCTGGGCATTGCATTGAATCTGTAGATTGCTTTCGGTAAGATTGTCATTATTACTATGTTAATTCTACCTACCTAAGAGGGTAGGAGATCTTTATACTTTCTGCCATCTTCTTCAATTTCTTTCTTCAAAGTTTTAAAGTTCTTGTCATACAAGTCTTCCACTTGTTTGGTTAGAGTCACTCCGAGATATTTTATGCTATTTGTGACTATTGTGAAGGGTGATGATTCTCTGATTTCTTTCTCAGCCCATTTATCATATGTGTACAGGAGGGCTACTGATTTTTTGAGTTAATCTTGTATCCTGATACATTACTGAAAGTGTTTATGAGTTGCAGAAGTTCCTTGGTAGAATTTTTGGGGTTGCTTATGTAAACTATCATATCATCAGCAAATAGTGAGAGTTTCACTTCTTCTTTTCTGATTTGTATCCCCTTGATCTCTTTTTGTTGTCTTATTGCTCTTGCTAGGACCCCAAGAACTATATTGAATAGATATGGAGAGAGTGGACAACCTTGTGTCTTGTTCCTGATTTTAATGGGATCGCTGGGAGTTTCTCTCCATTTAGTGTGATGTTGGCTGTTGACTTGCTGTATATTGCCTTTATTATGTTTAGGTATGTTCCTTGTATTCCTGCTCGCTCCAAGACCTTTATCACAAAGGGATGTTGTATTTTGTCGGAAGCTTTTTTTGGCATCTAATGAGATGATCATTTGGTTTTTGTTTTTCAGTTTGTTTATATGGTGGATAACATTGAACGATTTTCGTATGTTAAACCATCCCTGCATCTCTGGAATGAAACCAACCATCATGGTGGATGATGGTTCTGATGTGTTCTTGTATTTGTTTTGCCAGTATTTTATTGAGTATTTTTGCATCAGTGTTCATGAGTGAGATTAGTCTGTAATTCTCTTGTTTTTATTGTGTGGAACAATTTGAGGAGTACTCAATAGTTAGTTCAATACCAGTACTCCTCAAATTGTTCCACACAATAGAAACAGAAGGAATGTTGCCAAACTCTTTTTATGAGGCTACAATTACTCTGATATACAAACCATAAAGACATTACTAAGAAAGAGAATTACAGAACAATCTCACTCATGAACACTTAAACCACCTGATCCTGGGCTTTTCTTGGTAGGAAGACTTTTGATGACTGTTTCTATTTCTTCAGCAGTTATAGGTCTGTTTAATTTGCTTATCTGGTCTTGATTTAATTTTGGTAAGTGATATTTATCCAGAAAGTTGTCCATTTTCTTTAAGTTTTCTAATTTTGTGAAGAACAGGTTTTCAAAATATGACCTGATGATTCTCTGGATTTCCTCCGTGTCTGTTGTTATGTTCCCCTTTTCATTTCTGATTTTGTTGGTCTTGATATTCTCTCTCTGCTTTTTGGTTAGTTTGGATAAAGGTTTGTCTATTTTGTTGATTTTCTCGAAGAACCAACTCTTTGATTCTTTGTATTGTTTTCTTTGTTTATATTTTGTTGATTTCAGCCCTCAACTTGATTATTTCTTTTTTTTTTTTGTTTTTGTTTTTGTTTTTGTTTTTCGAGACAGGGTTTCTCTGTGGTTTTGGAGCCTGTCCTGAAACTAGCTCTTGTAGACCAGGCTGGTCTTGAACTCACAGAGATCCACCTGCCTCTGCCTCCTGAGTGCTGGGATTAAAGGCGTGCACCACCACCGCCCGGCACAACTTGATTATTTCTTGCTGTCCAGTTCTCTTGAGTGAGATTGCTTATTTTTGTTCTAAAGTTTTGAAATGTTCTGTTAATTTACTAGTGTGGGATTTTTCCAGCTTCTTTATGTAGGCATTTAGTGCTATGAAGCTCTTAACACTGCTTTCATTGTGCCCCATAAATTTGGGTATGTTGTGTGGTCATTTTCATTGAATTTTAGGAAGTCTTTAATTTCTCCCTTTATTTCTTCCTTGACCCACTGATGATTCAGGAGAGCATTGTTTAATTTCCATGTGTTAGTGGGCTTTCTGGAATTAGTATTGTCCCTGTGTGGTCACCCTTCTGAGTCCACCGTCTTGATCAAGGGTAATGTTTGTCTTGTCCAGACGCTTCAGTTGGAATTTTGGTCTCTTCTCACCGGGAGCAGTGTTTCCCTACTCAAGCCTGGGACTCGGGCTGTCTGTATCTTTTTCTTCTGTGGCTCACCGGTTATTTAAGACTGCCTTGCCTAATTTCCATGTGCTATTTTCAGATTTTTGCTCTACCATGATGAGCGAACACGTTTTGTATGACTTAAGCCCTTTTAG